AGTTTAGATGAATTTAAACACCAAGCCTTCACTTTGGGAACCTGTCAGTGCAAAAAGAAACATTAAGGAACTACATGGTTTTTATTTTCAAGTAGAAGGAAGTAGGTTTCTCAGGAGATGAAGACTGTTTCCTATGATATTTATATGGGACTATAACAGGACTTTAACAGTTATCAGTTAACTCTGGCAGCAGTATGACTGTAGGTAAATGGTTCTAGGGTTAGTCGATGTGGCCTTGCCAACAGCATCACAGACTCAAATTCTTTTTACTCTACTCCTCAACACATTAGTCTGTTCTGCAGGCTTCTTTCCCTGTGGACAAAAAGCACCTTCAAGGATTCTATGACAGTGCCAGTGGCAGACAAGTAATCTCTTTTCTGTGTCTTTTTTAAAATCAAGGCAAACCTTTTCCTAGAAATCATTTCACACATTTTTCCCTCTTATCTAATGGATCTAATTTTTACACATGACCCTCTTCAAGCTGTCATTGACTAGGGGAATAGGATTGCCATGATTGTTTATTGCATGCTGACTCTGGGACTGGGACCAGCCTTTTCAGAAGTACATAGTGGCATGGAAGTAGAGGGAATCTGGACAGAGCAGGGTTCTGTGAAGAAGAATCAGGGCTGGAGGATGGTTCAGTCATTGAGTTCTTGCCTAGCATGCTTGCAACTCTGGGTTCCACCTCCAGTTCTTCAGCAAGCAAAACAAAAGGGAAGGGAGATTATGTAAGGAACCAAAGTGTCCACTATAGAGACCAGCTGAGTAACGTTACCAGTTCAGCTTTATGTGAAGTAATCAATAAGTGCATCTTTATGTCAGCCTACATGAAAGTCGGGTCTGTAGCATTTAAGACAAATCATTGTTGAAATCAGTATCATGGTCAAGAGAGGTGTAAGTAGGAAGCACCTTCAGTAATTTGGCCTAATATAAGGCTATAGTTAGCAAATGTTTATCTTTCCATCTATTCCTGTCTGCTCCTGCCAACATCATCATCAGCATTGTGGAGAAATGCAGATTCTCAGGCCTACTTAATCAGAAACTTGGGGGGTGGCACCCAGCAGTCTGTGCTGTGAGAACACCCTCTAGGCAGTCAGATGTAAGCTCAAGTCAGTATTAAGATGGCCTTTGCCACCAGCTTTCTGACCCCTGTTCCTGAAGAGCTTCATAGAATTAGACAAGGCTTTTCTTCAGACTGTTCCCCTGGGTCAAATTTGAAGCATCCTTATTTGGTACTGTAAAATACAGAAGAGTTCATTTGGGCCAGGAAAAGTATGAGGGACAGTTAGTGAATGTAGATTCACCCTTTCTCAGTTGTCAAATAACAGAATTGTTGTGAGGTGTTTCACCAGAGAAGACCACTCAGACAAAGTTTTGCCAAATGAGTCTTTTATTACCTGGCCGTCAACTACACAATGGTGTTGGAACCCAAGTGCAGTGCCCTGTTGGTGTTAGGGTAAGCTTTTATGCAGAAGAACTACATTGGGGTGAGAAGTTTAAGTTTCCAAGCTCTTCCATAGCTTAGGGGTGGAGAGCTCCCTAACAATTCCTATTTTGCAAAAGCAAGCCAAGCATACAGTACAGAAGCCATAAATCTGTGGTTCGCAGGAACAACCAAGGATATGCTGACCTGTTCTCATGGCAACTAGTGGCCTATTGATGTGCTTGCAGCTGAGCCACACCTCTCTGTTCCCATACCCTGGGCCTTTTGGTTTCAGAGGCTAGATTCAGCCTTGACTTCAATATGGCATAAATATGGTCAAAAAGATACCTTATCACTGAATTACTTAGGACACAGTTTTTATAGATTACACAAAACTTGTTACTTCAGGTGTGTTTTAAATTAAACAGCAAGAGTTTGAGGATTTCATATTTCTTGGCAACATTTGTTAGTTGTGTTTGGCTTGTCATTGGTGAAGGCTTGGATTTAGCACGAATATCTGGGAGGTTTTCAGTGTTTTCTGCACAGGCGTAGAATGGTGGAGTGGCTGTGTAATTCACATGGCAGTCATTAGTATTTTAAACTACTTGTGTTACTATTTTATTGGTATTACCATTGTTACATTCAAAACCTCCACACATTTTAGCTTATGAGGAATCTTTTCTCATGTGCCTTTCTATTACAATGTGACTTCTTACCATTGATCTTTGTTAACAAAGTAAGATTTGAGCTTTTTCTTCAGAAGGTAGTTTCAGCTTTGTGCTTTTCAGTAACATTTTTTGGTTTGGTTTGGTTTTGAAGCTGGGAGGTAGCTTGGTGGTAAAGTACTTACCTGGCTTCAGTCCCGATGGTTGGCAGCTGGGGGTGATATTATTTCTCACTTTTCTCAGACACAAATGAGTATAACTTGCAGACTTGTAAAACAAACATAGTCTGTTCTTTGGGTAGTTTTTGGTCATTAGAAGAAAGGGAAAACACATACACACACAATACTGATAAAATATATAAGGGCTGGGAGTAGAGCTCAGTGATAGAACACTTGCCTAATGCATTAGAGGCTCTAGATTCAGTTCCCAGCATCACATTTGTGCTGGATAACTTTTATTGTTAACCTGACACCCCTTGGTAGAGGGAATCTCAATTGGGGAGTTACCTCCATTGGACTGACCTGTAGCCATGTCTCTGGGGCATTTAATTGGTTGTTGAGTGAAAAAGGAGGGCCCTGCTCACTGTGGGTGGTGCTACCCCTGGGCAGGTGGCCCTGTGTTGTATAAGAAAGCAGGTTGAGTAGGGGCCAAGGATCAAGCCAGTAAGCAGTGTTCCTCCATGGTTTGTACTTCAGCTCCTGCCTCCAGGTTCTTGTCCTGTGTTCCTCTCTTGGACTCTCTTAAGCCCTGTGACCGCAGTAAGCCAACAAATCCTTTCCTCCCCAAGTTTGTATTGGTCAGTGTTTTGTCATAGCAATTGAAGATATCGACATTCATATTCATTCTCTCTCTCTCTCCTCTCTTCTCTCTCTTCTCTCCTCTCTCTGTCTTTGCGTGTGTGTGTAATCCATTAAATCTTTAGCATCAAAGAAGGGAGAACAGAACATTTTTACTGTGTAAGTGTGTAAGTCTGTTAACAGGCTTTGTGGTACATTAGATGGCAAAGCAAAGTGCTATAGAGGCTTATTAATTGCAGTTAGAATTTTATTTTACATGTATGATTGTATTGCCTGCGTGTGTGTAAGTGCACCCATGTCATGCAGTGCCTGCAGAGGTCAGAAGGCAGCATTGGATCCCCTGGAACTGGAGTTACAGACAGTTGTTAGCTGTCATTTGGGTGCTGAGAACTGAACCCAGGCCCTCTGCAAGAGCAGCCAGTGCTCTTAACTCCTGGGCTATCTCTCCAGCCCAGTTTAATGTATTTTCTTATTTAGTGCTAGAGTCTGTTGGCCAGCAACTTGTGCTTTGCTATATTGTATCTCACAGTGGACAAAAGCATTGCAGCTTTGAGAGATCAAGCCCATGAAATAAGTTAGGGGCTAAGCACTTTCTGGTTTTCAGGATTGCACCAGTATGCACAGACTAGAGATGCAGTTATTCCAAAAGAATAAAACTGAAGGACACTTTGATCTACTGTGAAAGTAAGCCTGATTGAGTTTCTGATGTTAGCAGCTGGCCTTGACCCTAAATTAAAAATTGTTTAAATAGTTGAATATGAAATTGTCCTTCATCTAGACACTATAAAACATAGAAAAACCAAACCTTCGTTGTCATAGTTTATTGGTTAGGAACATGACTCTGATAATTTGCTGAATTCTTCTGTTCTAAATTTGGAAACAGTGTTCGTTCCATCAACGGTGATTCACTAGACGTTATCAGTTTTTGGTTTCTATATGGAGTGTCGTTTGAACAAGAAACTATGTTTATATTATCTCTGCTAATGGTGAAGTGCAATGGTGCAGATAATCAAAATAAAATGATTTCTAACTGTCCTGAGGGTTCTGGTGCCATCAGGGAAAAGCTTTTTATAGCAGTTATATCATTCGGAGCATGAAGTAGATTGTTTCATAATCAGTCTTTTTCTAATGATGCGTCTATTTAAATTATTACATGTATATTCTACAGATAGGTGAATATTGGGGGAAAGTTGTTTTAAGTGTTTGTAAATTCTTGATTTTTTTTTAAAGAAAGAAATCATAAACGTTACTTTGTCAAATACTGATATTTGATTTAAGAGTTGCCTCTATAAGTAAATTTCATTTACTGTTTTTATCCTGAGATAGTTCTTATGTAGCCCACATTAATCTTGGAATCCTGATCCTCCTATTTCATTCTCCCAAGTGCTGGGACTGTATATAAACCACCATGCCTGGTGTTACAATCTACCATATTAAATGCCCAAGTAAAATGCTTTAATTAAAATTTTTTTTGTTATTTTTATTTTACGTGTATGCGTGTATTGCCTGCATGTCGGTAAGTGCACCCATGTCGTGCAGTGCCCACGAAGAACAGAAGAGACTGTCGGATTCCAAATGCTTTAATTTTTAAAGTAGCCCTGTTTTAAAATGAGGTATCTTCTTATAATTAAGAAAAACTTCTTGCTGTATGTGTGAGTGTGAGTGCTTGTGCATGTGGATGATGTGGATGCACATGTATGTATAAGGAAGAGGCCAGTGTTAGATGGCCTTAATTGCTCTCTGCTTTACTTGGAAAGACAGCTTCTCCCACTGAGCCTGGACCTTGACAATTCAATGACACTGACTGGCCAGCAAGCCCCAGGGATCTTCTTGTCTCCACCTCCCACCACTGGTTTTACAGGTGCATTGCTATGCTTGGCATTTTTATGTGGGATATGAGGATCAAATCAGGTCCTTGTGCTTGTGTAGCAAACACTTTTACTGACTGAGCCAGCTCTCCAACCCCAACAAAACCCCAAAATTATAAATCTTATTTATTTAGTCTATGCCTCTCATTCATCACATAGAAGGATTGATGTTCTTGGTAATTTTGAGGCCTTGTTTTAGTAGGTTGCAGATAGTTTTACTTAAATCATGGTGAATTTTTTATTTTAGCTGTATGTTGATGTCTCATCATGAGGAACCAAAAGCAATGGAAGATGAAGAACCACCCACAGAACAAGATAAGAGGAAAAAGATG